AAAAAAAAAAAAAAAGATAATCCCAAACAGAGTTTAGAGCTGATATCTGTGCAAAATATAAAACATGAAGAAAACAGAAGGATGGGACATCATGGGCTGTGCGTAGGTGACTCACCAGATTAAGGCACTTGCCATCAAATCTGATAACCTGAGTTTGAGTCCCAGGACCCAGATGGTTGAAGGAGAGCACTTGATTCCTGCAGCTTGTCTTCTAACCTTTAAGCATGTGCAATGGGATGTGTGCCCCATGCCACACAAAGTAATAAATGATGCTTTTTTTTTTTTTAAAGATGAGACATCATGCCAGCCTACAGGTACAGCCTAAGCAGCACCAGAGGTGTCAGGAAGAACCAGTGAGGGGCAGCAAGGTGCTAAAGATTTGCAGATCTGTAAATACAGGGTGTAGGGTGATGTGGTGGCTACAGGGCCATTTTATTCAACAAGCAAAATTCAGACACAGCACTCTGGAGGGGCCAGAACTCATGGATAATTTAAAGAAATAAGAGGACATTTTGTGGCTTCTGCCTACTAGCTGAGAAAGGACTATGGCACATTCTCATTTATATGTTTGTTTTCATGGGTTCATCTACCATATGTTTCTTTTCATTATTACATTAGTTTTAAATTAATTATGGCCATTTCAGGCAAGATTCATCAATAGAAGTTAGGGTTAGTGGGTGCAAATAGGATTGAAAAAAAGGCCATTTACATCAACTGAAAGTCTCCCTAGAAGGTACCATTTTCCCCCTTGAACTTTATAACTTCACGATGGAGAAACCTCTGGGACTCAGCACACCTCATGTGCCTCCTGATATGATTCACTAAGCATGACACAATATCACTGCTGTAGTACTGCTGTAGTATTTCCATCCATATGTATAGCCTGGGTTTAATCATGAGGAAATAGTAGACAAAAGCTGGGGTTGGTGGCACACACTTTTAATCCCAGAACTGGGGAGCCAAAGACAGGCCTGAGAGCTGGCAGACCAGCCTGGTCTATTTGGTGGATTCTAGGCCAGTAAAAGACCCTGTCTCAAAAAAAAATTTTTTTTTTAAAAAAAAGGTTGGATTCACAGCCAGGTGTGGTGGCTCACATCCCAGCACAAGATGAAAATATTTTTTATAATGTCTGGGGTGTTCAAGGCCTGCCTGGTCTACGTAGTGAGTTCCAGGACAGCTGAGGCTACAGAGAGACCCTGTCTCAAAAAAGAGCCCCCCCCAAAAAAAGGTTGGATTTATGGGGCTGGAGACAGGGCTGGAGAGATGGTTCAGAGGTTAAGAGCACTGGCTGCTCTTGCAGAGGACCTGGGTTCAATTCCCAGCACCCACATGGCAGCTGCTAACAATCTTCTATAACCCCAGTTCCAGGGAATCCAACCCCCTCTTCTGACCTCTGCAGCCCTGCATAACATGGGTGCACTTACATACATGCAGGCAATACATTCATACACATTAAAAAATGATAAATAACAACAATAACAAAAGGGTTGGATTTGGGTTGGAAAATTGGCTTAACAGTTAAGAGCACTTGCTGCTCTTGGAGAGGACCCAGGTTCAGCTCTCACATGGTAACTCACAACCACCTGTAACTCCAGTTCTAGGAGACCAAATGCCTTCTTCTGCTTTCTGTAGGGTCCTCAATGTGGTGCACATATACTCATGCAGCAAACACACATATACATTAATTAATTAATTAATTAATTAAATCTTTTAAATTGATTTTTTTGTATATTTCATACAAAACATCCCAATCTTACTCATCTTTATACCTGCATCCCAAATGGCACCCTCCCATAGTCCCCCCCTCCCCCTGCCACTGGAGCCCATATACTCTGTCATCCCTGTTACTGTCCACGTTTTTTGCAGTTACTCCAGCAAAAAAAAAAAAAAAGATGGGCCAGATATAGTGGCCAACACTTTTAAACCCATTATCCAGGAATGCACAGATGGAGCTCTGTGAGTTTGAGGCCAGCCTGGTCTACATAGTAAGTTCCAGTGTGCACCTGCACATGCATGAACATATGCACACACA